ATTGACAGCTTCCCAACCTTCATCACACTACAGGTCCCGGTGGATATATAAAACAAGCCCGACCCGCAGGCCCTCTCAACCTGAGCCTTCCAGTTCTTCTTCGTCAAGTCTACAGGCAAAGGCAGCTTCTTTTTCTTGAAAAAGATCTTTCCCAGAAGCTTCGGGAGGAAATGAACAATCCTCTTGTCCACCAAGAACACGTCATAGGAACCGCAAAGTTTCCTTTTTGCCTCATAAGCCTTGTAATCTGTTCTCAGCTTTGAGAGCTTCAGAACTTTGCTTATGGGTACATCCTGGGACTTGATTATCTTCTTCGCTTCTGCTGAAGTCAGGTTGGAATTGGACCGGTCGTCGATGATGAGACAGCGCTCAGATGACTGGTCGTGGATGGGGTGCGGTAGGGCGACTCGGAAAGCATTGGTTCGAGCCATCGGAGGGACTTTTTTGAGGGTGATGGTGAGGTGGATGAACTCGTCTTGTGGTAGTAGCTTCGGCGCTTGTTCCTTCGATTGTGCGTCCTTCCATTTGAGCAAGGCGGTAACAGCTTTCTCCACTGTGCCTCTTGTCACGTTACCGCCGGTGACCGCGGCGGCTGGCAGTGTTTCTGTGGCCATAGCACCGCAGTGACGATTCTGAAAAGGTAGAAGGGCCACAATTAAAGTATTATATACACATAAATAATGGAATAAGTTAGGGCCTGTTTACTAACAGACACAGTTTTCTGTTTTCAAGTCTCCAGTTTTTTGTGATCGTTTTCCAGTTTTTTTTGTTTTCCAAATCAGCAAACATGATTACTAGAGTTTTTCAATTTTGCATTTCTTCTTTATCAGAAAACGTTAACTTAATATTTGGAAAAGAAAGTAACAATTATAAACATTTGAAATAACAATTACAAAAATAGTTACTTCTTATTACTCTAATCTCTTACTACATTTTCGAATACAATCAAAGGTAAAAGAGTTATTTAATCTATTAATACGTAGCATTAAAAATAGTTACTTACATCTGTTCACAAGGCACCTTATTGGACACAAAAGTAACTATCCATAGCCTCATTATATTCCTAATCCATCTCCTTCTACTCATTTTTTAAAATAATAATAAAAAGACCAGATGTTTAGCTAATTTTATCAAAAAACGAAGTTGTTTTGTTAACAAGATACCATTGAACCCCCAAACACAATGCGGTAGGATATGTTTTTGTACAATCCTAACAAGCATATACGAGTCAATATTCAAGTTTGCAGCATCTACAAAAGCCTAGTAAACAACAACTAATTTAAGTCACAATAAGATAGTTTTTACAGCCCTCGGGGCTCACTATTGTTGGCCGCAAATGAACTAAGTGAAGAAAAGTTGAGTACAATAATCCCAAAAGCAAACCTTGTTAACAAAACAGGGGCTTGACTTGTTTTTTACAAACTGCATATGATGGACTGCTAACAAATCTAATCTACTAACGGCTAACAAATCCAATCTACTATGGACCAAATTTTTTGCTTCCAAAACAAATGTTCCCTTATGAAGACATATTAACTTTTGTTAAGAACGCAAAATGCTTGAAACATGTTAATTACTAAACTGACCAGTTGAGAGCCCATTCAGATGGAGTTTTTTTTTTACAAAACGTTCTGAAGGGTGGTGTATATCTTGACATATATTTCAGACTAAAGATCATTACTAGTATTTACTAGAAATGAAAATGCACACAAATATTTGTTTTCCACACGATGAAACACAGCAAACAATATAAAAGAAGACAGAAAAGGAATTTCAGATTTGTTCACAATTGAAAAGTTGTCCGTTTTGAGCTTTGAGTCGTTCCCATAAAAAATGTTTGCGTTCACCATCATCACAAATTAAAAGAAAATGCTCAAATAAGCTGTCATGTTATAACAAAAAAGGTCAATCAGGTCATGCTAAATAATCACCAAATCTGATATATAAACTTATGTGGGAAAGGTGTAGCTTTTTCTTGTTATTGTCAATCTTAGTGGGACGGAGATAGTAATATATAAAAATAACTTCAATTTCACTAAAAGGTAAATAAAAATCAAACCTTTTCAAATTTTCTACAAGAATGAGAATTATAATCCAAATTCATAATTGTTCTCTACGGGTTTTCATAGACTGATATGACTTGATAATCACATTATTGACAATTTTGAATCAGATGTCTTTTTCTACATGAACAAGAAGCCTATCATTCAGTCAGTCAGCACTCATTTTCATTTGACTGTTCAATCTATCCATTATACAAAAAAATAACCCCTTGAACACTAGAGATTGCAACAGGGAGAATCAATACCAAAGTAAAAAACAGTGGGATTAATACATACCCTAACTAATAGGATATTGGGATGGATGGATGGATGGGATGGACTCATGGACGAATAGATGAATAATGGAATTAATACTCACTAATCACAAATTGCAATCTTATTAATACTAACGAGATTAATACTACAACAAAAACAAGATCCAAACCTCAATCCCAAAAGATTTTGAGGTCATTTAACTAATGAGATTAATGCCTAACAGTGAAATTTAAAAACTTGACGAAGTGCACCACAATGTAGAACTAATAATGATTCAACCCAATTACCCCATTATTCATAATAATCAGATGAAGATAATATGATTCATATGAAAAGGGTGCTGATTAATTATCTATAAAAGTAGCAACTAAAAAGGAAACTAACCTCAAGACCTAGCGAAGTAGCGCAGTTTTTCGCTGAGCTTATATCGGCGGAAGAGACAAAGATGCAGACGACGGGAGGTGCCGCGCAGTCGAGGATTAGGGCGGCGTGCGTGTTTGGCGACTCGGCGCAGGCGATGGCTTGCGGTTGTGAATGGTCGGGAGATGGTCGAAGGACTCGAAGGATAAGTGTTTGGGTGGATTCGAGGTTTTCTTTTATTCCAGATTCTTTAAATTCATATGTACCTGAACTTTGGACAGAATAAAATTTTGAAAATTAGAGTTTTGAATCTATATTGGGCGTGTTTGATACGAATATTGAATCAGTATAGTACCAAACTGGTATGGTACTGAATCTAACAATGAGATTTCAAACGGATATCAAATTTTTTATCCCGAAGCGGACTGTATCAGCTCCAAATCATGCCATCACTGGTTTTCATGAAATGAGAACATGCCTCTGAACCGGAGCAAAGTATGATTTAAAAAGCGTACATACGTATCACTATGTGGATTTAAAAAGCGTACATACGTATCACTATGTGGATTAAACCTTCAACATGCATTCTCCTGGAAATATAAACATGCATAATCAAAAGGAAAAACTGTCAAATTAACCCTCGAAGTATGCCTAAAAAGTCAAGGGAAAACTATCAAATAAGCCCCCGTACTATGTCGAAAAACTCGATTAGGCCCTCGTACTTTACAAACACTCAATTAAGTCCTCGAACTATTAAAAAACTTTCAATTAAGTCCTTTTGGTCGGTAAGTAACCGGTTTTCCAGTTAAACGGCGACGACGGCGACGATGTGCTCGAACCCTAGCAATGGCGGCTGTCGGGAAACAGGTTACATTTAACCGGGAAACCGGTTACTTACCGACCGAAAGGGCTTAATTGAACATTTTTTACTAGTTCGAGGACTTAATTGAGTGTTTGTAAAGTACGAGGGCCTAATCGACTTTTTCAGTATAGTACGGGGGCTTATTTGATAGTTTTCCCTTTAAGTTTTGTACATCTCAAATTACATCTAAAATTCAGTAAATGTAAACGTACATATGAAATTAATGTTTTGTTGATTTATGTTTCGTACTTCTATAGTTCATCTGAAATTTATTAATGATGAAATATGAAAATTGATAGATTGTGTTAATTTTTGGAGGATGGCTAAACTTTAATTCCCCTTAAACAATTGAAAAAGTGACATTGTTTTGTATTGATATGACACTGTACCGCCTAGTTTGAAAATGGAACCATATCGAACGGGGTTAGGTCTAAGACCGAACCGAACTGGACCGTTTAATAGTCACGGTACGAGCACAAGTTCAGCAAAATATTGGACCATCCCGGACTATGCCTGCCCCTGGGGGATTGTGTTAACGGGTTGTCAGAAGATGTTTGATAATTTAGCTATTTGGTCATAACAATTAGTAGAAATGTCATATTTTAAAATGCTATCTCAGAAATCTTCTATTTGCAGTGTTTCCATTTTAGCGGTTTCGTTAAAAAACATTAGGACCGAACAACTATATACCAAGCAAACAACGTTTTCACTTGTTAAAAATGCTAAAATAAGTCAAACCCTTATTTTTTACTTTTTTTTTTTTTACTGAAATGTTATTTCTAAACGCCCCAGTGTCAAAATGTCAAGTAAACAATTCAAGTTTTCTCAGATATATTTCTCTGCTGTGTACTGGTATATGATACACCCTTCGTGACTTCGTGTAAACAAGTTTGGCGAAATTCACAAGAATAATCCGTACTTTTAGGGATTCTTCAATAATAATCCCTAGTGAGAATTTCCACAAAAATAATCCAAACTACCAATAGTGTTCATAAGAATAAATTGGGTGAATTCAAATTAATGCCCGTTTAATACTTTCAACACTTACTCCCACTTTTCTCTCCCCCGAGAAGAAGAGTGATGAATGGAAAAGTGGTAGGGGTTGGGAATATTAAATGAGCATTAATTTGAATTAATTTAAATTTATTCTTATGGACACTACTATTGCTAGTACGGAGTATATTTATAGACACTCTAAATATGTATTATTAATGTAGAATCCATAAAAGTATGGATTATTCTTGTGAATTTCACCAACAAGTTTTCACTTGTATATTACTCTTCTCCGTACTACGTATGTCATTACTAAATTGCTCAAGTTTACACGAAGGCTCCTTTAATTTCAAGAAACAAATTTGTACAAAATAATTTTTCTCGAAAACGTTTTCTTAAAATTCTAAAAATTAAGCCGTTCAATCAATGTATATCACTCCGTATTAAATAAGTCTGCACAAGTGCACAATGTATATTGTTTTAAATTTTTCATATGCAACTTCAAAACATAGTGAATGGTACATTTGAGCTTAGAGTGAAAATGAAGAGGAAGAAGAAACACAATAAACTTACTTAAGCAATAGATAAATAAAAAAATAAGACAGATGAATTAGTTCTTGTAGAATAACTAAATACATCAATACCTCTTTAGATTACTAATTTATCAATTGATCAATTTATAATCAACACTTCTCTAGAATTGGAATGACAAAGTCACCATCTACCTTGCTACTTTTGTTTTCATTCCCTTTGACAATCCTTGTTTCTTTCTCCTGTACTTCCCTTTCCAAGTTCAATCCTCTAGTATTTCGGCTTCCCATTAAGATTACCTCCAACAACTTTCTTCTAACATTGTAAATTCTGTTTGGCTCAATCAAACAACCTTGACTGTCATACGCTTCTCTCAGATAAACCATTTGAGAATCCCCCTTTGTAGATATGTAAAAAATCCCCGGATGGTTCAAAAGCAACTCACGGATATTCACTTCGATTCCTAGATCCTTCCGAAAATGAGCTAACCGTTCAACTCGAACCATCTTCTCTACGGTTAAACTCAGGAGTTCGTGAATGATTCCCACAGCTCTCTTTTCATACCTCTCTACTCCTCCACAACTACGAACATTAACGATGTTCGTTTTCTCATATGGCTTGATGTATGACATTCGTTGCCAATTGTTCAATTTCTCTTTAAACCCTGCCCCTTTTCTGAATCCTGTTGGGAAATTTATAGGGAATGAATATTTGACCTCAAATTCACTTAACCACCTCTCTGTATACTCTTTTTCCCGCCACTTTTCGACCTCGGCCACCATAGATGGTCTTTCACATTCCTTAACAGCCAATTCCACAAGTTCTAGATCCACCATTTTGAAATCGGTGTTATACTTCCTGATTATTGATTCTCGGAAATTTTCAGGAAACCCTAATTCATCTCTAATTAATCTGAGGGAATGCAAATGAAGGGTGCCATTCACAGACATGAGCAAGAGGTTTTTTATTCGAGTGACAGAGTCCTGTTCGAGTTGAGCGATCATGACCTCTTCTTCTCTTATTAGGGCAGTGAATTTCTGGGTAAACCTGAAACATCGGTTATGATAGGCAGGGTGCGTAAATACCTCAAAAATGTGAGGGTATTTCCTAATGAAAGCTCCCGCCGGTAGAGTTTTGATGCCGGCCTGTGGCGCCAACTTGGACAGGGACTGTATGGCGACGAAGGGACCCCGTTTTCTGGTGGAGACCAGGCGGTGGAGGTTGAGAATGAGATTGAGGCGGCGGCGGTTAGCAGTGAGGCGGTCAAGCTTCAAGTCCCTGGTGCGGTTCTCAAGTCGGGTTTGAGCAGTGTTCGCAGGCTTCATCCATCGGGTTTGGGTGGCAAAATTGAACGGCCCAAATGGGATTGCGGACTTAGAGGTTGACTTTCCGATCACAAGCAGTCTGTGCAAGATTTTCATTGTCCTCCACCACAGCACAAAGTAGCCATGCCACCATCCGTTAGGATTGCATATGACAGTTGACCAATTTCACAAATTTGGATGAAAAGGAAAACCAGGGGAAACCATAGCTTGCAATCTGCTTCATAGAAACGGAAATAATGTGAGAATTAAAAACATTAATGGGTTATTTTGAATATACTCTTGTACGAATACTAGAATTCAGTGTTTGCAAAATAAATATTTTAATGTATAAAAAAATAACATATAGAATCACTTTTTGTTTTTATTAAATTGTCTAAAATGACCCATTTAAAAATTTACTTTTATTTCCGTCTCAAACTATATGCATTTAATAATTTGCAAACTTGACATTTAAATAAAAACAAAAGATGATATCAAACAATTAAGTAAAGCTTATTTTAAAATAGCTCCCAATCTAAGCAAGTAAAATCTCTCTAAAAGCAACCAGAAGTAAGCATTGCGTAAACAAACAAAAAATTGGAGATCATCATATTAACAAAATTCTTTTCATTGTTACATGGTTATATATTTTATAGATTACCATTTATAAAACTGATTTTGTCCAACCAACTCATACGCATCAAATACAAAGATATAAACTCATAAATAAGTATGTCAGGTTTAGAACCAAACAAATTCCTCAAGTTTATATGAATGCTCCTTTTGATTTAAAGAAATGAATTTGTAGAAACTGTCTTTTAGAAAATGTTTTCCTAAAATTAAGATGTTCAATATGCATAATATTTAACCAAAAAAATGTTGAGGAGCTATTGAAAGACTGCAGCCACTTTCTTCAGATAACACAGATTTATGTGTGTGTTGTTCTAACTTCTAATACTGCTGACAAATTAGGACCGGTCATTACACATATTTCACTGCTCTTTTCACTCACAAGTAATCACACACACCTTAATATTTTTTGCACTACATAGAAGAAAATGCAGTCCTCAATCACAATTAAAGTATTATATACATATAAATAATGGAATAAGTTAGGGCCTGTTTTCTGTTTTGAAGTCTCCAGTTTTTTGTGATCGTTTTCCAGTTTTTTTGTTTTCCAAATCAGCAAACATGATTACTAGAGTCTTTCAATTTTGCATTTCTTCTTTATCAGAAATCGTTGACTTAATATTTGGAAAAGAAAGTAACAATTATAAACATTTGAAATAACAATTACAAAAATAGTTACTTCATATTACTCTAGTCTCTTACTACATTTTCGAATACAATCAAAGGAAAAAGGGTTATTTAATCTATTAATACGTAGTATTAAAAATAGTTACTTACATCTGTTCACAAGGCACCTTATTGGACACAAAAGTAACTATCCATAGCCTCATCATATTCCTAATCCATCTCCTTCTACTCATTTTTTAAAATAAGAATAAAAAGACCAGATGTTTAGCTAATTTGATCAAAAAACGAAGTTGTTTTGTTAACAAGATACCATTGAACCCCCAAACACAATGCGGTAAATTATGTTTTTGTACAATCCTAACAAGCATATACGAGTCAATATTCAAGTTTGCAGCATCTACAAAAGCCTAGTAAACAACAACTAATTTAAGTCACAATAAGATAGTTTTTACAGCCCTCGGGGCTCACTATTGTTGGCCGCAAATGAACTAAATGAAGAAAAAGTTGAGTACAATAATCCCAAAAGCAAACCTTGTTAACAACAGGGGCTTGACTTGTTTTTTACAAACTGCATATGGTGGACTGCGAACAAATCTAATCTACTAACTGCTAACAAATCCAATCTACTATGGACCAAATTTTTTGCTTCCAAAACCAATGTTCCCTTATGAAGACATATTAACTTTTGTTAAGAAAGAAAAATGCTTGAAACATGTTAATTACTAAACTGACCAGTTGAGAGCCCATTCAGATGGAGTTTTTTTTTTACAAAACGTTCTGAAGGGTGGTGTATATCTTGACATATATTTCAGACTAAAGATCATTACTAGTATTTACTAGAAATGAAAATGCACACAAATATTTGTTTTCCACACGATGAAACACAGCAAACAATATAAAAGAATGAAGACAGAAAAGGAATTTCAGATTTCTTCACAATTAAAAAGTTGTCCGTTTTGAGCTTTGAGTCGTTCCCATAAAAAATGTTTGCATTCACCATCATCACAAATTAAAAGAAAATGCTCAAATAAGCTGTCATGTTATAACAAAAAAGGTCAATCAGGTCCTACTAAATAATCACCAAATCTGATATATAAACTTATGTGGGAAAGGTGTAACTTTTTCTTGTTATTGTCAATCTTAGTGGGACGGAGGTAGTAATATATAAAAATAACTTCAATTTCACTAAAAAGTAAATAAAAATCAAACCTTTTCTCAGTTTTCTGGTATTTCAAATTTTCTACAAGAATGAGAATTATAATCCAAATTCATAATTGTTCTCTACGGGTTTTCATAGACTGATATGACTTGATAATCACATTATTGACAATTTTGAATAAGATGTCTTTTTCTACGTAAACAAGAAGCCTATCATTCAGTCAGTCAGCACTCATTTTCATTTGACTGTTCAATCTATCCATTATACAAAAAAAAATAACCCCTTGAACACTAGAGATTGCAACAGGGAGAATCAATACCAAAGTAAAAATCAGTGGGATTAATACATACCTAACTAATAGGATATTGGGATGGATGGATGATGGGATGGACTCATGGACGAATAGATAAATAATGGAATTAATACTCACTAATCACAAATTGCAATCTTATTAATACTAACGAGATTAATACTACAACAAAAACAAGATCCAAACCTCAATCCCAAAAGATTTTGAGGTCATTTAACTAATGAGATTAATGCGTAACAGTGAAATTTAAAAACTTGACGAAGTGCACCACAATGTAGAACTAATAATACGATGTAGAACTAATAATGATTAAGCCCAATTACCCCATTATTCATACTAATCAGATGAAAATAATATGATTCGTATGAAAAGGTTGCTGATTAATTATCTATAAAAGTAGCAACTAAAAAGGAAACAAACCTCAAGACCTAGCGAAGTAGCGCACATTTTGAGCTGAGCTTATGTCGGCGGAAGAGACAAAGATGCAGACGACGGCTTGCGTGTGTGGCGACTCGGCGCAGGCGATGGCTTGCGGTTGTGAATGGTCGAAGGACTCGAAGGATAAGTGTTTGGGTGGATTCGAGGTTTTCTTTTATTCCAGATTCTTTAAATTCATATGTACCTGAACTTTGGACAGAATAAAATTTTGAAAATTAGAGTATTGAATCTATATTGGGCGTGTTTGATACAAATATTGAATCAGTATTGTACCAAACTGGTATGGTACTGATACTGAATCTAACAAAGAGATTTCAAACGGATATCAAATATTTTATCCCTAAGCGGACTGTATCAACTCCAAATGATGCCATCACTGGTTTTCATAAAATGAGAACATGCCTCTAAACCGGAGCAAAGTATGATTTAAGCGTAAATGCGTATCACTATGTGGATTTAAGTTTTGTCATTTATGTTTTGTACATCTCAAATTAATGTTTTGTTGATTTATGTTTCGTACTTATATAGTTTATCTGAAATTTATTAATGATGAAATATGAAAATTGATAGATTGTGTGAATTTTTGGAGGATGACTAAACTTTAATTCCCCTTAAACAATTGAAAAAGTGACATTGTTTTGTATTGATATGACACTGTACCGCCTAGTTTGTAAATGGAACCATATCGAACGGGGTTAGGTCTAAGACCGAACCGAATTGGACCGTTTAATAGTCACGGTACGAGCACAAGTTCAGCAAAATATTGGACCATCCCGGACTGTGCCTATCCCTGGGGGATTGTGTTAACGGGTTGTCAAAAGATGTTTGATAATTTAGCTATTTGGTCATAACAATTAGTAGAAATGTCATATTTCAAAACGCTATCTCAGAAATCTTCTATTTGCAGTGTTTCCATTTTAGCGGTTCGTTAAAAAACGTTAGGACCGAACAACTATATACCAAGCAAACAACGTTTTCACTTGTTAAAAATGCTAAAATAAGTCAAACCCTTATTTTTTAACTTTTTTTTTACTGAAATGTCATTTCTAAACGCCCCTGTGTCAAAATGTCAAGTAAACAATTCTAGTTTTCTCGGATATATTTCTCTGCTTTGTACTGGTATATGATACACCCTTCGTGACTTCGTGTAAACAAGTTTTCACTTGTATTATTGTATATTACTCGTCTCCGTACTACGTATGTCATTACTAAATTGCTCAAGTTTACACGAAGGCTCCTTTAATTTCAAGAAACAAGTTTGTGCAAAATAATTTTTCTCGAAAACGTTTTCCTAAAATTCTAAAAATTAAGCCGTTCAATCAATGTATATCACTCCGTATTAAATAAGTCTGCACAAGTGCACAATGTATATTGTTTTAAATTTTTCATATCCAACTCCAAAACATAGTGAATGGTACATTTGAGCTTAGAGTGACAAAGAAGAGGAAGAAGAAGCACAATAAACTTACTTAAGCAATAGATAAATAAAAAATAAGACAGATGAATTAGTTTTTGTAGAATAACTAAATACATCAATACCTCTTTAGATTACTAATTTATCAATTGATCAATTTATAATCAACACTTCTCTAGAATTGGAATGACAAAGTCACCATCTACCTTGCTACTTTTGTTTTCATTCCCTTTGACAATCCTTGTTTCTTTCTCCTGTACTTCCCTTTCCAAGTTCAATCCTCTAGTATTTCGGCTTTCCATTAAGATTACCTCCAACAACTTTCTTCTAACATTGTAAATTCTGTTTGGCTCAATCAAACAACTTTGACTGTCATACACTTCTCTCAGATAAACCATTTGAGAATCCCCCTTGTAGATATGTAAAAAATCCCCGGATGGTTCAAAAGCAATTCACGGATATTCACTTCGATTCCTAGATCCTTCCGAAAATGAGCTAACCGTTCAACTCGAACCATCTTCTCTACGGTTAAACTGAGGAGTTCGTGAATGATTTCCACAGCTCTCTTTTCATACCTCTCTACTCCTCCACAACTACGAACATTAACGATGTTCGTTTTCTCATATGGCTTGATGTATGACATTCGTTGCCAATTGTTCAATTTCTCTTTAAACCCTGCCCCTTTTCTAAATCCTGTTGGGAAATTTATAGGGAATGAATATTTGATCTCAAATTCACTTAACCACCTCTCTGTATACTCTTTTTCCCGCCACTTTTCGACCACATCACAAAGTAGCCATGCCACCGTCACTTAGGATTGCATATGACAGTTGACCAATTTCACAAATTTGGATGAAAAGGAAAACCAGGGGAAACCATAGCTTGCAATCTGCTTCATAGAAACGGAAATAATGTGAGAATTAAAAACATTAATGGGTTATTTTGAAGATACTCTTGTACGAATACTAGAATTCTGTGTTTGCAAAATAAATATTTTAATGTATAAAAAAAATATCATATAGAATCACTTTTTGTTTTTATTAAATTGTCTAAAGTGACCAATTTAAAAATTTACTTTTATTTCCGTCTCAAACTATATGCATTTAATAATTTGCAAACTTGACATTTAAATAAAAACAAAAGATGATATCAAACAATTAAGTAAAGCTTATTTTAAAATAGCTCCCAATCTAAGCAAGTAAAATCTCTCTAAAAGCAACCAGAAGTAAGCATTGCGTAAACAAACAAAAAATTGGAGATCATATCAACAAAATTCCTTTCATTGTTACATGGTTATATATTTTATAGATTACCATTTATAAAACTGATTTTGTCCAACCAACTCATACCCATCAAACACAAAGATATAAACTCATAAATAAGTTTGTCAGGTTTAGAACCAAACAAATTCCTCAAGTTTATATGAATGCTCTTTTTGATTTACAGAAATGAATTTGTAGAAACTGTCTTTTAGAAAATGTTTTCCTACAATTAAGATGTTCAATATATGCATAATATTTAACCAAAAAAATGTTGAGCTATTGAAAGACTGCAGCCACTTTCTTCAGATAACAGTAGTACTGTTATCTGAAGAAAGTGGCTGCAGTCTTTCAATAGCTCAACATTTTTTTCATAACACAGATTTATGTGTGTGTTGTTCTAATACTGCTGACAAATTAGGACCGTTCATTACACATATTTCACTGCTCTTTTCACTCACAAATCACGCACACCTTAATATTTTTTGCACTACATAGAAGAAAATGCAGTCCTCAACCACAATTAAAGTATTTTTTTAACAGTTACAACATGACTGTTAATAAGCAATATGTAGTAAGGTCATGGAATCTAGAGAACACAGGAATTCCACAAATTGATCAATATTAAGATTGAAAGCCAATAACAGGATAATAATAATAATAATAAGAGCCTAAAGCAGGAAAGACAAAACTGTAATAGAACAACAATGACAGAGAGAGGTTTTGAATCTGCCATTACAACAAAATCTTTGAGCAAAGCCCACATTCTACTCGCTCACTCACTCTTCTTGTTTCTCTTGCTCTTTGGCTTGATCGCCTCTTCTTTGGACTTCATCCCAACCACACTCTTTCTCTTTCCCTTCTTCACATCTAATTCATCTTTAGCCTTCAGGGAAGACTTCATCTTTTCCTTCTGTTTCTTATCCTCTGTGTCATCCCCCCTTTTCACTTTCTTTCTCTTTTTTTCACCATTCAAAACCTGACCTTTCTGAGATTTTGCCTTCTGGTCTTTCTTGGCTTTAAGCTTCGTTGGGACCAAATCATGCTCTTCCTCCTCCTTTCCCTTCCCACCCTCATTTTCGTCACTATCAGCATCACTCTCTCCTTCCACACTTCCCTCATTAGTGTCTAAATCCGTATTATTCTTTTGGATATCATCCTCAACATCTCCATCGTCACTCTCTGATTTGATTTCACCTATTTCAGCATCCATATACCGCACTGCACTAAGCCTCCCTTTCCTCTTTTTCTTGCCTGTCTCAGGGGTTTTGCCGGTCTCCTTAGCCTCAAGACTGCCTTCACCCTCAACCTCCTTTACCCCCATAATTTTGAGCTTCAAGTCAGGCAGTGCTTGATACAAAGGCAATGCAAGAGAGCCAGTTAGTCTCAAGTGAAAGCTCCTCAGGCCACCCCATCCCTTCGGAACAAAGCCAACAACACCATTAATGGCTTCCAAAACATTGTCAACAACCTCACCACTATCCATTGACAGCTTCCCAACCTTCATCACACTACAGGTCCCGGTGGATACATAAAACAAGCCCGACCCGCAGGCCCTCTCGACCTGAGCCTTCCAGTTCTTCTTCGTCAAGTCTACAGGCAAAGGCAGCTTCTTTTTCTTGAAAAAGATCTTTCCCAGAAGCTTCGGGAGGAAATGAACAATCCTCTTGTCCACCAACAACACGTCATAGGAACCGCAAAGTTTCCTTTTTGCCTCATAAGCCTTGTAATCTGTTCTCAGCTTTGAGAGCTTCAGGACTTTGCTTATGGGTACATCCTGGGACTTGATTATCTTCTTCGCTTCTGCTGAAGTCAGGTTGGAATTGGACCGGTCGTCGATGATGAGACAGCGCTCGGATGACTGGTCGTGGAGGGGGTGCGGTAGGGCGACTCGGAAAGCATTGGTTCGAGCCATCGGAGGGACTTTTTTGAGGGTGATGGTGAGGTAGATGAACTCGTCTTGTGGTAGAAGCTTCGGCGCTTGTTCCTTCGATTGTGCGTCCTTCCATTTGAGCAAGGCGGTAACAGCTTTCTCCACTGTGCCTCTTGTCACGTTACCACCGGTGACGGCGGCGGCTGGCAGTGTTTCTGTGGCCATAGCACCGCAGTGACGATTCTGAAAAGGTAGAAGGGCCACAATTAAAGTATTATATACATATAAATAATGGAATAAGTTAGGGCCTGTTTACTAACAGACACATTTTCTGTTTTGAAGTCTCCAGTTTTTTGTGATCGTTTTCCAGTTTTTTTGTTTTCCAAATCAGCAAACATGATTACTAGAGTTTTTCAATTTTGCATTTCTTCTTTATCAGAAAACGTTGACTTAATATTTGGAAAAGAAAGTAACAATTATAAACATTTGAAATAACAATGACAAAATAGTTGCTTCATATTACTCTAGTCTCTTACTACATTTTCGAATACAATCAAAGGAAAAAGGGTTATTTAATCTATTAATACGTAGTATTAAAAATAGTTACTTACATCTGTTCACAAGGCACCTTATTGGACACAAAAGTAACTATCCATAGCCTCATCATATTCCTAATCCATCTCCTTCTACTCATTTTTTAAAATAATAATAAAAAGACCAGATGTTTAGCTAATTTTATCAAAAAACGAAGTTGTTTTGTTAAAAAGATACCATTGAACCCCCAAACACAATGCGGTAGGATATGTTTTTGTACAATCCTAACAAGCATATACGAGTCAATATTCAATTTGCAGCATCTACAAAAGCCTAGTAAACAACTAATTTAAGTCACAATAAGATAGTTTTTACAGCCCTCGGGGCTCACTATTGTTGGCCGCAAATGAACTAAGTGAAGAAAAAGTTGAGTACAATAATCCCAAAAGCAAACCTTGTTAACAAAACAGGGGCTTGACTTGTTTTTTACAAACTGCATAATGCTAACAAATCTAATCTACTAACTGCTAACAAATCCAATCTACTATGGACCAAATTTTTTGCTTCCAAAACAAATCTTCCCTTATGTAGACATATTAACTTTTGTTAAGAAAGCAAAATGCTTGAAACATGTTAATTACTAAACTGACCGGTTGAGAGCCCATTCAGATGGAGGTTTTTTTTACAAAACGTTCTGAAGGGTGGTGTATATCTTGACATATATTTCAGACTAAAGATTATTACTAGTATTTACTAGAAATGAAAATGCACACAAATATTTGTTTCCACACGATGAAACACAGCAAACAATATAAAAGAAGACAGAAAAGGAATTTCAGATTTGTTCACAATTGAAAAGTTGTCCGTTTTGAGCTTTGAGTCGTTCCCATAAAAAATGTTTGCATTCACCATCATCACAAATTAAAAGAAAATGCTCAAATAAGATGTCATGTTATAACAAAAAAGGTCAATCAGGTCCTACTAAATAATCACCAAATCTGATATATAAACTTATGTGGGAATGGTGTAGCTTTTCTTGTTATTGTCAATCTTAGTGGGACGGATGTAGTAATATATAAAAATAACTTCAATTTCACTAAAAGGTAAATAAAAATCAAACCTTTTCTTAGTTTTCTGGTATTCCAAATTCATAATTGTTCTCTACGGGTTTTCATAGACTGATATGACTTGATAATCACATTATTGACAATTTTGAATCAGATGTCTTTTTCTACATAAACAAGAAGCCTATCATTCAGTCAGTCAGCACTCATTTTCATTTGACTGTTCAATCTATCCATTATACAAAAAAATAACCCCTTGAACACTAGAGATTGCAACAGGGAGAATCAATACCAAAGTAAAAAACAGTGGGATTAATACATACCCTAACTAATAGGATATTGGGATGGATGGATGGATGGGATGGACTCATGGACGAATAGATGAATAATGGAATTAATACTCACTAATCACAAATTGCAATCTTATTAATACTAACGAGATTAATACTACAACAAAAACAAGATCCAAACCTCAATCCCAAAAGATTTTGAGGTCATTTAACTAATGAGATTAATGCCTAACAGTGAAATTTAAAAACTTGACGAAGTGCACCACAATGTAGAACTAATAATGATTCAACCCAATTACCCCATTATTCATAATAATCAGATGAAGATAATATGATTCATATGAAAAGGGTGCTGATTAATTATCTATAAAAGTAGCAACTAAAAAGGAAACTAACCTCAAGACCTAGCGAAGTAGCGCAGTTTTTCGCTGAGCTTATATCGGCGGAAGAGACAAAGATGCAGACGACGGGAGGTGCCGCGCAGTCGAGGATTAGGGCGGCGTGCGTGTTTGGCGACTCGGCGCAGGCGATGGCTTGCGGTTGTGAATGGTCGGGAGATGGTCGAAGGACTCGAAGGATAAGTGTTTGGGTGGATTCGAGGTTTTCTTTTATTCCAGATTCTTTAAATTCATATGTACCTGAACTTTGGACAGAATAAAATTTTGAAAATTAGAGTTTTGAATCTATATTGGGCGTGTTTGATACGAATATTGAATCAGTATAGTACCAAACTGGTATGGTACTGAATCTAACAATGAGATTTCAGAGAAATGCTAGAGGTACACACTTTGTGTACACACTTTTTGTACACTCGTCTGTCTCTTAAGAAGATTTTGTCTGTCACAGACAACTCATATATGAATTGTCTGTGACAGACAAAATTTTCTTAAGAGACAGACGAGTGTACACAAAGTGTGTACACAAAGTGTGTACTCAAGCATTTTTCTGAGATTTCAAACGGATGTTAAATTTTTTATCCCGAAGCGGACTGCATCAACTCCAAATGATGCCATCACTGGTTTTCATAAAATGAGAACATGCCTCTAAACCGGAGCAAAGTATGATTTAAGCGTACATGCGTATCACTATGTGGATTTAAGTTTTGTCATTTATGTTTTGTACATCTCAAATTACATCTAAAATTCAGTAAATGTAAACGTACATATGAAATTATTGTTTTGTTGATTTATGTTTCGTACTTCTATAGTTTATCTGAAATTTATTAATGATGAAATATGAAAATTGATAGATTGTGTGAATTTTTGGAGGATGACTAAACTTTAATTCTCCTTAAACAATTGAAAAAGTGACATTGTTTTGTATTGATATGACACTGTACCGCCTAGTTTGAAAATGGAACCATATCGAACGTGGTTAGATCTAAGACCGAACCGAACTGGACCTTTTAATAGTCACGGTACGAGCACAAGTTCAGCAAAATATTGGACCATCCCGGACTGTGCCTACCTCTGGGGGATTGTGTTAACGGGTTGTCAAAAGATGTTTGATAATTTAACTATTTGGTCATAACAATTAGTAGAAATGTCATATTTCAAAACGCTATCTCAGAAATCTTCTATTTGCAGTGTTTCCATTTTAGCGGTTTCGTTAAAAAACGTTAGGACCGAACAACTATATACCAAGCAAACAACGTTTTCACTTGTTAAAAATGCTAAAATAAGTCAAACCCTTATTTTTTAACTTTTTTTTTTTACTTAAATGTCATTTCTAAACGCCCCTGTGTCAAAATGCCAAGTAAACAATTCAAGTTTTCTCGGATATATTTCTCTGCTGTGTACTGGTATATGATACACCCTTCGTGACTTTGTGTAAACAAGTTTTCACTTGTATTATTGTATATTACTCGTCTCCGTACTACGTATGTCATTACTAAATTGCTCAAGTTTACACGAAGGCTCCTTTAATTTCAAGAAACAAGTTTGTGCAAAATAATTTTTCTCGAAAACATTTTCCTAAAATTCTAAAAATTAAACCGTTTAATCAATGTATATCACTCCGTATTAAATAAGTCTGCACAAGTGCACAATGTATATTGTTTTAAATTTTTCATATCCAACTCCAAAACATAGTGAATGGTACATTTGAGCTTAGAGTGAAAATGAAGAGGAAGAAGAAACACAGTAAACTTACTTAAGCAATAGATAAATAAAAAATAAGACAGATGAATTAGTTCTTGTAGAATAACTAAATACATCAATACCTCTTTAGATTACTAATTTATCAATTGATCAATTTATAATCAACACTTCTCTAGAATTGGAATGACAAAGTCACCATCTACCTTGCTACTTTTGTTTTCATTCCCTTTGACGTGACAATCCTTGTTTCTTTCTCCTGTACTTCCCTTTCCAAGTTCAATCCTCTAGTATTTCGGCTTCCCATTAAGATTACCTCCAACAACTTTCTTCTAACATTGTTAATTTTGTTTGGCTCAATCAAACAACCTTGACTGTCATACGCTTCTCTCAGATAAACCATTTGAGAATCCCCCTTTGTAGATATGTAAAAAATCCCCGGATGGTTCAAAAGCAACTCACGGATATTCACTTCGATTCCTAGATCCTTCCGAAAATGAGCTAACCGTTCAACTCGAACCATCTTCTCTACGGTTAAACTGAGGAGTTCGTGAATGATTCCCACAGCTCTCTTTTCATACCTCTCTACTCCTCCACAACTACGAACATTAACGATGTTCGTTTTCTCATATGACTTGATGTATGACATTCGTTGCCAATTGTTCAATTTGTCTTTAAACCCTGCCCCTTTTCTGAATCCTGTTGGGAAATTTATAGGGAATGAATATTTGACCTCAAATTCACTTAACCACCTCTCTGTATACTCTTTTTTCCGCCACTTTTCGACCTCGGCCACCATAGATGGTCTTTCACATTCCTTAACAGCCAATTCCACAACTTCTAGATCCACCATTTTGAAATTGGTGTTATACTTCCTGATTATTGATTCTCGGAAATTTTCAGGAAACCCTAATTCATCTCTAATTAATCTGAGGGAATGCAAATGAAGGGTGCCGTTCACAGACATGAGTAAGAGTTTTTTTATTCGAGTGACAGAGTCTTGTTCGAGTTGAGCGATCATGACATGTTCTTCTCTTATTAGGGCAGTGAATTTCTGGGTACACCTGAAACATCGGTTATGATAGGCAGGGTGCGTAAATACCTCAAAAATATGAGGGTATTTCCTAATGAAAGCTCCCGCCGGTAGAGTTTTGATGCCGGCCTGTGGCGCCAACTTGGACAGGGACTGTATGGCGACGAAGGGACCCCCGTTTTCTGGTGGAGACTAGGCGGTGGAGGTTGAGAATGAGATTGAGGCGGCGGCGGTTAGCAGTGAGGCGGTCAAGCTTCAAGTCCCTGGTGCGGTTCTCAAGTCGGGTTTGAGCATGGTTTTAAATTGCGGTTGCGGTCGCAGTTGCGGTTGCGGTTGCGGTCGTTGCGGTTGCGGCTAATGCGGCCGCTGCGATGCGTATTGCGGCCGCTGCGGCGTGAATTATTTTCAAGTTCACACCAGAAAGAATGATGGACAGGCGGATGCGTTGCGGTCTGTTGCGGCACATCGCGGTCGATTGCGGTCTATTGCGGGATGTTGCGGCACCGTCGCGGTTACGTTGCGGTTTCGTCGCGGTTACGTTGCGGTTTTGGCCGTGATTCCAAATCATAAGGGTGTTGCGGGCTGATGCGGTTGCGGTGCCCTCGGCAACCGCAATATTGCGGCCGCAATTGCGGTTGCGGTCCGCAATTTGAAACCATGGGTTTGAGTAGTGTTCGCAGGCTTCATCCATCGGGTTTGGGTGGCAAAATTGAACGGCCCAAATGGGATTGCAGACTTAGAGGTTGACTTTCCGATCACAAGCAGTCTGTGCAAGATTTTCATTGTCCTCCACCACAGCACAAAGTAGCCATGCCACCGTCAGTTAGGATTGCATATGACAGTTGACCAATTTCACAAATTTGGATGAAAAGGAAAACCAGGGGAAACCATAGCTTGCAATCTGCTTCATAGAAACGGAAATAATGTGAGAATTAAAAACATTAATGGGTTATTTTGAAGATACTTTTGTACGAATACTAGAATTCCAGAAATTTTAGAATACCCGTGACGTGCTCATTAGAGAGCACGTAGGTATATAATAGGAAACCACGTAAGTAAGCTTAATACTCCGTTTATACTAGCTCTGTTTATACTAGTGCTACGGTCCTCCGTACATACGTATTTTACTACATATGTACGGAGGACCGTAGCACTAGTATAAACAGAGCTAGTATAAACGGAGTATTAAGCTTACTTACATGGTTTCCAATTATATACCTACGTGCTCTCTAATGAGCACGTCACGGGTATTCTAAAATTTCTGTACCTACGTGCTCTCTAGAGAGCACGTCACGGGTATTTTAAAATTTCTGACTAGAATTCAGTGTTTGCAAAATAAATATTTTAATGTATAAAAAAATAACATATAGAATCACTTTTTGTTTTTATTAAATTGTCTAAAGTGACCCATTTAAAAGTTTACTTTTATTTCCGTCTCAAACTATATGCATTTAATAATTTGCAAACTTGACATTTAAATAAAAACAAAAGATGATATCAAACAATTAAGTAAAGCTTATTTTAAAATAGCTCCCAATCTAAGCAAGTAAAATCTCTCTAAAAGCAACCAGAAGTAAGCATTGCGTAAACAAACAAAAAATTGGAGATCATCATATCAACAAAATTCCTTTCATTGTTACATGGTTATATATTTTATAGATTACCATTTATAAAACTGATTTTGTCCAACCAACTCATACCCATCAAATACAAAGATATAAACTCATAAATAAGTTTGTCAGGTTTAGAACCAAACAAATTCCTCAAGTTTATATGAATGCTCCTTTTGATTTATAGAAATGAATTTGTAGAAACTGTCTTTTAGGAAATGTTTTCCTAAAATTACGATGTTCAATATGCATAATATTTAACCAAAAAAATGTTGAGGAGCTATTGAAAGACTGCAGCCACTTTCTTCAGATAACACAGATTTATGTGTGTGTTGTTCTAACTTCTAATACTGCTGACAAATTAGGACCGTTCATTACACATATTTCACTGCTCTTTTCACTCACAAGTAATCACACACACCTTAATATTTTTTGCACTACATAGAAGAAAATGCAGTCCTCAATCACAATTAAAGTATTATATACATATAAATAATAGAATAAGTTAGGGCCTGTTTTCTGTTTTGAAGTCTCCAGTTTTTTGTGATCGTTTTCCAGTTTTTTTTCCAAATCAGCAAACATGATTACTAGAGTTTTTCAATTTTGCATTTCTTCTTTATCAGAAAACGTTGACTTAATATTTGGAAAAGAAAGTAACAATTATAAACATTTGAAATAACAATTACAAAAATAGTTGCTTCATATTACTCTAGTCTCTTACTACATTTTCGAATACAATCAAAGGAAAAAGGGTTATTTAATCTATTAATACGTAGTATTAAAAATAGTTACTTACATCTGTTCACAAGGCACCTTAATGGACACAAAAGTAACTATCCATAGCCTCATCATATTCCTAATCCATCTCCTTCTACTCATTTTTTAAAATAATAATAAAAAGACCAGATGTTTAGCTAATTTTATCAAAAAACGAAGTTGTTTTGTTAACAAGATACCATTGAACCCCCAAACCCAATGCTGTAGGATATGTTTTTGTACAATCCTAACAAGCATATACGAGTCAATATTCAAGTTTGCAGCATCTACACAAGCCTAGTAAACAACAACTAATTTAAGTCACAATAAGATAGTTTTTACAGCCCTCGGGGCTCACTATTGTTGGCCGCAAATGAACTAAATGAAGAAAAAGTCGAGTACAATAATCCCAAAAGCAAACCTTGTTAACAAAACAGGGGCTTGACTTGTTTTTTACAAACTGCATATGATGGACTGCTAACAAATCTAATCTACTAACTGCTAACAAATCCAATCTACTATGGACCAAATTTTTTGCTTCCAAAACAAATGTTCCCTTATGAAGACATATTAACTTTTGTTAAGAAAGCAAAATGCTTGAAACATGTTAATTACTAAACTGACCAGTTGAGAGCCCATTCAGATGGAGGTTTTTTTTTACAAAACGTTCTGAAGGGTGGTGTATATCTTGACATATATTTCAGACTAAAGATTATTACTAGTATTTACTAGAAATGAAAATGCACACAATCTTTGTTTTCCACACGATGAAACACAGCAAACAATATAAAAGAATGAAGACAGAAAAGGAATTTCAGATTTGTTCACAATTAAAAAGTTGTCCGTTTTGAGCTTTGAGTCGTTCCCATAAAAAATGTTTGCATTCACCATCATCACAAATTAAAAGAAAATGCTCAAATAAGCTGTCATCTAGGAAGCACGGAAACGCCGATCTCCTTCCAGTTTCCGTACCGGAAACGTTTCAGAAACGGGAAACACCTGGAAACAGCAGGAAACACCGGGGAAACGTAGGGAAACGTTTCTGGGCTATTGGGCTTTTGGGACGGGTTGGGGAAACGTTTCCGAAACGTTTTTTTAATTCAACCGATGCGTTTCTGACTTTCTGAATTGTAAAACAAACCTTCGTCCAATCTGCCGCACTCTATCCCCAAACGAAGGTCGTCACAATCCTTCGGTGCGATTCCTCAATCCCCACTCGAAAACGAAGGCTTGAAGAGTTGTGAGTCCCTGTCACCAGTCGAATGGAAGTATGGAACAACAAAGTCAGATCGTCTGCGTTGGACTCTAAGGCTGGAGGAGTTGAAGACGCCGGCGACGAACCTAAACGCTAGACACAGGGGCTGGTATTGGACTGGAAGAGTAGAACTGTCTATTCTTTAGTGCTTATTTTTGAGGCAGTGAGCTTTAATTTATTTGCTGCCACAGACCTAAAGTATTAAATTGCTGCCACAGTAACTTCAGCAAGTGATTTGTGCTTTTAATCTTGTAATATGGAACATTTACTGTTTTCATTTTATTTTATGCACGTAGAATGGATTCTAACAAGGAATATGTTTGATTTATTTATTTCTATTTCTTGGACATAAACATGACCTATATAATTTTAGTTCGACGTTTCCTTGCCGTACCCGTATCTTAATATTTTGAGTTTAGAGTTTCCCCGTCCCCGTTTCCGTTTCCGTTTCCGTTTCCGTTTCCGTCTCGGTGCTACTTAGGCTGTCATGTTATAACAAAAAAGGTCAATCAGGTTCTACTAAATAATCACCAAATCTGATATATAAACTTATGTGGGAAAGGTGTAGCTTTTTCTTGTTATTGTCAATCTTGAATCGTATTTCCCTAAATTACATTAATTCTCAATAGTCATAGAACATTAACAGATGAAAAACGAATTTAGTATCATCATTCATTCAAAATAGCTGAAAATCTATTTACTCAAGCAATTGTTTAAACAAATTACCCTTAGGTTTTAATTATTATTTTCAAAATTTCTTTAAAGCACCCATGGAGGGCTCACTGGAGCCTTTTTAAAGCTTCTGAAATTTCTGAAACAAGGGCTTTATGCAAGGGCTTTATCGTTTCTGGAAGATTTTGAAACAAGGGCTGTCT